TATTATTATTACAGACCCAAATTCCCACGGGGCAGATTCCTCCCGATCAGAGGAATTCCGCCATTACCGGAGGCACCAACCCGGAAGTCCTGCTAGTTTAGTCTTAAGGTTTTTAAAAGGCAATATTCAAATAGGACCCAAAAATATAGTTGTTTTTTTCCACCAGATTGCTGGCATGAAGGAGAAGCACATTTGGGAGTGTTACTCTTCATCTGGGAGTTTCCAGTTAGTTTCTTTCCACTTTTCCTCCACAAGTGTTGGAAAGGTCAATCAATATAAGCTTTCCTAGGAAGGACACCCCAGTCTCATGCTATATCCTAAATATCTTCACAGAAGCTTATGAAAAGCTTGGTCTGTCGCTCAGCATCCAAAAAACCAATGTGCTGCACCAACAAGCACAAAATAACCCCTCTGCAGCACCACAAATCCAACTCAGTGGTGTAAAGTTGGAAAATGTCGATCACTTCTCCTACCTAGGCAGTTATCTTTCCACAAGGGCCAACACTGATGCCGAAATCCAGCATCACCCGAGCTCTGCAAATTCAGCCTTTCTCCCAATTGAAGTGCAAAGTGTTTGAGGACCGGGACATTCACAGGGAAACCAAAATGCTTGTTTACAAAGCTATTGTACTACCAACCTTACTGTCTGCTTGTGAAACATGGACCACTTATAAACGCCATCTCCAACTCCTTGGAAGATTCCATCAACAGTGTCTCCGAAAAATTTTACACATCACTTGGGAAGACAGGCGAACTAATATCAGTGTACTGGAAGAAGCAAAGATTACCAGTGTTGAAGCAATGATTCTTCAACATCAACTTCGTTGGACTGGTCATGTTGTGCGGATGCCTGATTATCATAGCTGCCAACGTTTCCCTTTTTTAAAGGGAAATTCCCTTATTCCAAATAGGATTCATCGCAAGAAAAGGGAAAAGTTGACAGCTATGCTGATTATCGTCTTCCAAAGCAACTACTCTATTCCCAACTTAAAAATGGAAAGTGTAATGCTGGTGGTCAACTGTCTCAAGACAAATCTAAAAAAATGTAGTATAAACACCGACAACTGGGAAACACTGGCCTGTGAGCGCTCCAGTTGGAGAACAGCTTTTAGCAAAGGTGTCATGGGCTTTTAAGACACTCGAACTCAGGACGCAAGGGAGAAACGTGCTAAGAGGAAGGCATGTTTGGCAAATCCACACTGTGATCAACTCCCGCCCAGGAACCAATGTCCCCACTGTGGAAGGACATGTGGATCCAGAACTGGCCTCCACAGTCACTTACGGACTCACTGTTAAGACCATGTTTATGGAAGACAATCTTACTCAGCTACGAGTGATCGCCAAAGAAGAAGATATGAGCATATGAACTCTTTATGTATAAAAAAATCAAATCTGTGTCCAGTGTCTGAATTTCACATCCAATATAAATGCAAAATGAGTTGTCTTGCATGATTTATCTTCTATTTTTAAAATTCTGCCATTTTTACTGTTTTGCATATCAGGTTGCTAATCAGGGGAAGCGGCAGGGTGCTATGCACTGGAGCAGGGTCCTCTGAATGCCAGGTATCTTACATAGCTGCTGCTCATGGCCACAGCCCACAATGGTTAGCCCAGTGATCCTGAATCTTTCATACCAGGCCCCAAATTCTCTGTTCTGTCCCTCTTTTTATAATTATATGTTTTACTTTGCTTACAGGGTGCATCTTAATTTTTCCCAGAGGCGCTTTATACATTTACAGTGGTACCTCGGGTTACATACGCTTCAGGTTACATACGCTTCAGGTTACAAACTCCACTGACCCAGAAATATTACCTCGGGTTAAGAACTTTGCTTCAGGATGAGAACAGATATCGTGCAGCAACGGCGCAGCGGCAGCAGGAGGCCCCATTAGCTAAAGTGGTGCTTCAGCTTAAGAACAGTTTCAGGTTAAGAACAGACCTCCAGAATGAATTAAGTATGTAACCAGAGGTACCACTGTATACAGATTTGTGTTAGGGACTGGAAAGAGGCAGAGGTTAGTCTAGTTCCAGAGCCACAGCATTCTGTGTTCTGTTTGGCCTGTTGCCCCCCACCCTTATTTCTAATAAAGTTTCACCATGTGACCACTGAGGTGTGTGCATTTGGCAACCTCCGTTTCAGAAATCCCCATGTGCCCAGATCCCTTTGGGCTCCGCACTGTTGGAAGCCTGAGGCCAGGCTGGGTAAAGCCAGACCTTCGCCCTGCTTAGGGCTGGGGAGCTGGCTTTTCGCTCTGCCACTTGGCAAGGGATTGGCTGGAGGCATGACGGCACTGTCCAAGATCCCAGGATCTGAAGAACTAACCGTACATTCCCAGTTTATATTGGGATGTGAAAAGGTGCTAGAAGATGATATATTTTTTACGTATTATCCTTCCTTCCTCACATTTGTGAGATCAGCAGAGTGCCCTAGATGGGCTAGTTTTAGCCTTTTAGTCTACCGTATTTTTCGGACTATTGGACGCACCGGTCCATAGGACGCACCTAGATTTGGGGGAGGGGGAAATAAAGGCAAAAAAAATTTATTCCCCCCCCGCCAGGCGCGGGGCTGGGGCGGGGAAGCCCGAGCTTCCCCCTCCCCCAGAACGGGACCCAGAGCCATGCCGAAGCTGCGCGCAGCTTTGGCATCGCTCTGGGAGCTTGCGGGGCTGGGGGAGGAGGAAGCCTTCCGCCAGCCTCCAAACCATGTCGGGAGACAGCGGGATGGCGCGCTGCGCCTCTCCCGCTGTCCCCCGAGTTTGCGGGGCTGGGCCAGCCTTCTAACCAAGTCGGGGGACAGCGGGAAGGGCGCGCTGCGCCCCTGCCGCTGTCCCCCGAGTTTGCGGGGCTGGCGACGGGGAGGAGCAGGCTTCTCCCCCCGCCAGCCTTCTAGCCAAGTCGGGGGACAGCGGGAAGGGCGCGCTGCGCCTCTCCCGCTGTCCCCCGAGCTTGTGGGGCTGGCGGTGGGGCTCTCCTGAAGCCTGGAGGTTGTGGGGCTGGTGGGGGGGAGAAGCAGGCTTGCTTCTCCCACCCCCAGCCTCCAGATCAGGTCGGGGAATAGCGGGATGGCGGCGCTTCCCCATCCCCCTATCCCCCGAGCTTGTGGGGCTGGGGGGGGGGGAGAAGCAGGCTTGCTTCTCCCACCCCCAGCCTCCAGATCAGGTCGGGGAATAGCGGGATGGTGGAGCGCCGCCATCCCGCTATTCCACGACCTGATCTGGAGGTTGTGGGGCTGGGGGGGGGGAGAAGCAGGCTTGCTTCTCCCACCCCCAGCCTCCAGATCAGGTCGGGGAATAGCGGGATGGCGGAGCGCCGCCATCCCGCTATTCCACGACCTGATCTGGAGGTTGTGGGGCTGGGGGGGGGGAGAAGCTAGCAGGCTTGCTTCTCCAGCCCCCAGCCTCCAGTTCAGGTCGGGGAATAGCGGGATGGCGGAGCGCTGCCATCCCGCTGTTCCCCGACCTGATCTGGAGGTTGTGGGGATGGTGGGGGGGGGGGAGAAGCAGGCTTGCTTCTCCCACCCCCAGCCTCCAGATCAGGTCGGGGAATAGCGGGATGGCGGCGCTTCGCCATCCCCCTATCCCCCGAGCTTGTGGGGCTGGGGGGGGGAGAAGCAGGCTTGCTTCTCCCCCCGCCAGCCTCCAGATCAGGTCGGGGAATAGCGGGGTGGCGGCTCTGCGCCTCCCCGCTGTCCCCAGCTTTTGGGTGCAGGCTGCTGCCCGCAAGCCTTGCGAGCCCGCGGGACATCCCGCCGGGCTTGCAAGACTTGGGATAGCTTCCTGAAGCCTGGAGAGCGAGAGGGGTCGGTGCGCACGGACCCCTCTCGCTCTCCAGGCTTCAGCAAAAGCCTGCATTCGCACCATAGGACGCACACACATTTCCCCTTCATTTTTGGAGGGGAAAAAGTGCGTCCTATAGTGCGAAAAATACGGTAAGTAATGCAGGAAGCTTTAAGGCAGACCAGATTCTCCTGGTATTTCACCCCTTTCTCTCCCTTAAAACAATAATCACACAAACAAGTCTTGTAAAAGGTAAAGATAACATTTACTCACTCAGAATACTTGTTGAAGAGTAACAGATACAGAAGCTTCGTTTAGGCAGGCTTAACATGGTAATTCAGTTACAAATACATACTTAAGTCTAGCTTAAAATTGATGTTCTCACCTTGCTGGCATGGTGAAAAGAGGCAGGTGGGAGAATATCTATAGCTCTGCCCTCCCCATGTCGGCACAGTGGGAGCGTCTCTCACAGAGTTCTCTCTGGCAAGTTTACAGGAAAACTGAGTTTCAGCTCTGATCCTGTGCCTATCTAGCAAAACATGAATTGTTGGTTTGACTGCACTTTAAATATCCCCCCATTTCCTTCCTTGCTTCTGGGGCTGTAGGTGACCAAAAAGGGTGGTGGCAGCAGCAGTTGCCAGAGAGCAGCCCTGGCAGCACTGCAGGGTTGTTGTGCGGCAGTTGAGGAAGGAAAGGGTGTGAGAGGCTCTCCTGGCAGCTCCCTTCCCAAGTTCTCTGAAGTTCTTGGCAACATCCCTGCCCACAGACTCTGCCTCCAGGCACTTTCCCCCAGCTGGGAGCAAACTACTCAGGGGAAAGAGACGGTGGGAGTGAGAGGGTTGCGCCTGCAGCCCCCTTTGGCCATCCAAACCACCTTCCTTGTCACCGAGTCATTTGGTGATCTAGTGCCTGAATCACTGTCTGGACAGAGTCCTGCACTGTTAGCAGCAATCCAAGGTGCTTAGATTATGCAAAGGCAAAACTAGGCATTATTTCACCCGGGTCAAAGACCCAGTTTGGCACACCCTCCCATGCACATTTGCGTGTGTGTGTGTGTGTGCGCGCACACACACAGGCTGGGAGCCTCAATGGCACCCCACCCTGGAGGCTTCACCCAGAGCAAAAATCCTGGCTAGCCCCCCTCCAGCTACAGCTCTGGCTTTTGCAACTTTATGCATGGTCTTTCCCTAAACTTATTTTAATTTATACCTTGCCTTTTCACAGGTGGGCACCTGAGGCAGCTAACAGTATGCATACCAGAAACGCAGCATAACTTGCAGCTATGAGAAGCCTGGAGAAAATGACCTGTGGGTGGTCCACCCACTAACGGCTCTGCATTTTGTATTCTTCCTCAGAAGATTGCAGTGCTGGCTGCTGCTGGAAACTGGGATTCTGAAGTGTAAGTGAAGCAGGGATATTCTGCATCGGCCAGCAGGCCTTTTCTGTGCCTTATCGAAGGCTCTGCTTCCTCAGGTAACTTGCATTTCCGTTGTGCTTAAACTGCTGCGTTATCTGTGTGGGGTTTTTTTTTGGGGGGGGGGATTTCCCACAATTCTTGGAGATGTTACCATAGAGGACTTGCCTGATTTTCAATACTAGAAATGAGATGTGTCTGGAGAGCTTTCTTTTCTAATGCATGATAAATATGTAGTTATTGGCTCCATCGGATCAAAAGTGCACTCTTCCCATTCACCCCAACCGCACATCTTTGCATGGAATGACATTTCTGTAGTACAGGCACGACCATTTTGCATGGGGATGGAGTGTGCATAAGCTTGCCCTGTTACACCCTGCCCCCGTTACTCCCCCATTCATCCCACTTCTGGGTCCAAAAGGACCCACATTTCGGGGGTCACGCATCAACTGGATACACCTAAACAGATCGCCGACTGCATTTGCTTGCTGGAGAAGTGCTAGAATTTGCAGTGTTGCTTGTGCTGTTTTATTGCTCCTATTGCCCATAGTACCACTGGCAAAGTGCAAGACTTTTTCTCTTATCCCCAGTCCCTTCATCTCCAATGCCATCACCATTTTAATACAAGCAACAACCATTGTACATGTGTTGAATAGGTGTGCAACTGTGCGCATGTGCATTGCCCTGAACCCAGAAGTGACTAGAAAAATGTCAAAAACAGCCCTAAAAAGAACACTGAAAGGGCAAAAATGTCGCAAAAACAGCACCTATGTTTACAACAAGTCCCACGAGCCTTACAAGTGCAATATCTGGAGCCATCAGCCACTGAGGCCTGTGGAGAGTTGGAGTTTGAGCAAGGAGGTTTGGAGAGAGTCTGTCAAGTGCTGCTGGTTTTTAAAAGGGGTTTCCAAGGGTTCCCAGAGGTTTAGAGGGTGTTTGCAGGCTCTTTCAAGGATCTTCTCAATATGCACTATTTCACTTAGACATGTGGCGTAAAATGGTTGTTGCCTGCATTTTAAAAGTTGGTGGCTTCCCACTGTGTCTCTCCAGTGGAGGTGGGGGTACTTGGAGGAGGGTGGAATATGCTTGGCAAGCCATCAGTAAGGTTGTTTTCTATCCTTCAACAATCCCTGGTCAGCTATGAACTTTCTCTCCCCACCCCCCACCCTGGCCCCTGTACTTCCCCTTTAAATTCCCTGCGCCTTAATGTGTACATGACAACACAGCAGCCCTGCAATGTCCCAGCATAATCCCCTCCCATTCTAACAGGCAGTCTTTTCTTTGGGGCTGGTGCCTGCTCTCATGCCTGGTTCTTAAGAAGGTAAATCATTAATGATTTGGGATAGAGACAAGGCAGCGTGATTGAGGGAAGCCATTTCCATCCCACCCCCACCTCCTGCCTTTCCGTGGGCGCGACCGTCGCCTGCCCTTCCCGCCTTGCCCTCGGGCCAGACCTCGCAACTCCCAGAGACTTGTGTTGGAGAGGGAAGGTGGCGCACCCAGGCTAGTATTAAAGTGAAAGTTGAAGTGTGATATCTATTTAATTAAGAAGAAAAACACTGTTACTTGAATACCTGTCTTGTTGCTCTGACAGTAATGCTACATTGTTAAGTAAGTGGAAGCACACCTTAATTGTTATATGGATGTTTCATTAAATGTAAGGATCTCATTACCACTGTACTGTGTATTCTACCAAAGCAAGTTGAAAAGATCAAAGCAATGAGTTATGAAAGCTGAGACTTTAACAGAAGCCGTGTTGGCCACGGTTCCTTGGCAGGGCCTGCCAATTGCTCCTTCTTTCTCCTTCTTCCCTTACAGCTGGCCAAGGCCTGACCTACCAGCCAAATGTGGCCCCCCAACCACACATGGAGGTCAGGGGCTTGACCATCCTTTGTTTTTATTTTTGCAGTTGCTGACAGGTAGCCGAATAAGAGGCTCCTCAACACCCTGATTGGAACTCTATACATGGCCAGTGGGCTACACTATGTAGGCCTGGTCAAGTCTACATCAGTTTACCGTCTGCCTGCAGCTGTTTGCATTCCCATTTAATTTGCGTAGTTCACCTGACATTATTCTCAAACAACACTGGTCTTGATACTTTCCCCTTCTAAAGTTGGGTTTACTTGACACAGGGCTAATCTGATAAATTAGGGGAAATTGGGCTCTAAACAGCTCTACGCATTGTCAGAGATTATTTGTTTTAGCATCATAGAATTGTAGAGTCAGGAAGGACTACAAGGGTCATCTAGTCCAAGCCCTTCAATGCAGTGCCCAACATGAGGCTCATAACCCACAACCCTGGGATTCAGAGTGTCCTGCTCTACAGACTGAGCCAGCTCAGGGATGAGCGGATTGATTGTCATTTCTGCTGCTCCCATAACTGCTGTTTCTTCTGTGCTTTCCCCCTATCTGGGCTCGTAACTCTTTTTGGGGCACTCCTGAATATGGGAATGTTTCCTTTTATTTTGAATCCCCAGATTAACACAAACACAAAACTGTACAACCAAACTTACATAAAATTTCCATGGTGAATATATTGAACAGCCGTGTGTGCTGAGAACTTACAATCAGAAATGGGGAGGCCTGGGAAAAAACTGGAAAAATTGAAAAACAACAACAGTTCCCCCCTCCCCTGTTTTTGTTTTTGTTTTTTTCAAATAAGGAAAAATGGCTTTGGGAAAAAATGGGGGGGAAACCCACATTTTTCCAGTTTTTCCCAGGGCTTCCCATATCTACTTACAATAGCTTTCATTTCTTTTTAATACTTCCAATTTGTGCAAAATCAGAAAATAGCACAAACAAATTTGCAATTGCCTGACTGCAGCATTGCACACATGTCCGGTTGGTATTTGGTTGTCACAACGGTTTTGTGTTGTAATTTTCCCAATCTTTTCATAGGTCATACCATGTGATTAAATTTGGAATGGTATCCTGGCATACAGTTCTTTACTGCCACTTTGATGGGGAAACAGAAGCATGTCCATGCGTAAAGGATGGTGACATGTCCAATGGCCTCCCCTGTTGTGTGGCACCATGCACACTAGTGCAAATGAAATTTAGTGCAACATGTTGATAAAAAAAACAAAACACCACAGTTCCATAATGCAACAGGCAAAAGGAATGTTAGCAACCAGGACACTTTTTTTCTATCTCCCTTAGTAAAAAGCTGAAGCAGGAGGGGGGAATCTGCAGCCCTCCGGATGTTGCTGGACTACAACTCCTATCATCCCTGGCCATTGGCCATGCTGGGTTGGGCTGGTGGGGGTTAGAATCCAGCAATACCTGGAGGGCTTTTGTCTCTGGGCTAAAGACTTGTGCATTCATTTTAGAAGGGAGGAAGAAAAAGAAAAAAGAAAGGAAAGCTGCTCTCTTGTAGTCAACTCACACTCACACACACCCTGCAGGCCATGACCCTGTAAATGGAAGGCTAAGACTTTGAAGACTAGCACTTCTGATGCACATGCCTCTCTAACAGGGTAAGGCTATATTTTGCCTTGCATTCCCAGCACCACACTCCTTGTTCTTTGTTCTAAGCTCCTAACCCTGTTAATTTTATGTGTTTTCATCAACCCCAGGCTTCTGCAAGTTGGCCCCTCACCCCTCTCTTCTGAATGAACACATTCTCACTGTGGTCTTGCCTTGATGCCTTCTAATACAGACGTCCGTGAGTGGGCACAAGTGTAACCTGTTGTTGGAAAGCCATGGGGAACACCTTCGATTCCTACTTCAACAAGCACAAGATTGTGGAGCACTACAACTACACCAAGGATAGGCTGGAGAAAGATGATGACCCTTCACTCTCAAGCGGCTCTGTTGCGATCATTGTGCTTTGCTGCTTTATAATCCTGGAGAACCTGCTGGTGCTCATGTCCGTCTGGAGGAACAAGAAGTTCCACTCGGCCATGTTCATCTTCATCGGCAACCTAGCCTTTTCAGACCTACTGGCTGGCTCAGCCTTCATAGCCAACGTTGTCCTCTCGGGCCCAGCCACTTTCCACCTCACCCCGCTGCTGTGGTTCGTGCGAGAGGGCACAGCCTTTGCTACTTTGGCAGCCTCCGTCTTCAGCCTGCTGGCCATTGCCATAGAGCGGCATGTGGCCATCACAAAGGTGAAGGTCTACAGTAGCGACAAGAACTGCCGTATGGTGCTTCTGATTGGCGCTTGCTGGGTGATTTCGGCAGCCATTGGGGGGCTGCCCATCCTTGGCTGGAACTGCATACATGACCTTGACAAGTGCTCCACTGTCCTACCGTTTTACTCCAAACACTACGTTGTCTTTGTGGTCACCATCTTCACCGCCATTCTCTTCTCCATTGTGGTCCTCTACGTCCGGATCTATCGCATCGTCCGCTCCAGCCATGCTGAGATGGCTGGCTCCCAGACTATAGCCTTGCTCAGGACAGTCACTTTTGTCCTGGGGGCCTTCATCATCTGCTGGCTCCCTGCCTTCATCATCCTCTCAATAGATGCTTCATGTGCCAGGAAGTCTTGCCCCATCCTTTTCCAGTCGAAATATTTCTTTGCCTTTGCTACCCTCAATTCAGCCATCAACCCTCTCATCTACACCCTCCGCAGCAAGGACATGAGGAAGGAGTTCCTGCGAGTCCTCTGCTGCTGGGGTGTGATGGGGCAGGGGAAGCCGTCAGAGCGTTGCATGATTCCCCTCCGCAGTTCCAGCTCCTTGGAACGCTGCACCCAAAAGCAGGACAATCCTACTGCGCCTTTCATGAAGAAGGAACATTCCACTTTTGTGTGAAAAAACACAAGGAAGGGAACTATGGGGTGGATGATGAAAGAAAGGGGAGTGGGTTGGACCTAAGTGAGCGGTACAAAGGTGATGTGGTACATGGGATGCTAACCTCCTCGTGGCCAAATCAACCTGCCTTTGACATAGCTGGAGGTGTCCGTTTGTTCACTAGACCTGCACAGTATTAGAACGTTCTGTTAGTGTGTGTGTGTGTGTGTGTGTGTGTGTGTGTGAGAGAGAGAGAGAGAGAGAGAGAGAGAGAGAGAGAGAGAGAGAGACTGAATGACTTGAAGTGAGTGAGCAGCCTGCTCAGATGCTGACACTTTGCTTTGGTACAGTTCTGCTCCTTTTCTCTAAAAGGTGCCCTGCCTGTTTTGTACGCCCAGAGTTCCTTCTGTCCTGCACCTCAGAGCATGCTTTCATGCCTTCCCTCCTTCCCAAAGCATTCACCCCTTTCCAAGGAAGTAGCAACCAGTCACTCAAATCTGCTTGGTTCTCTTTGCCTTGGTCCTAATGTGGCCATAGAGCAGCCAAGGAGCTTCCTTGAGTGACTGGAAGTGAAAACAGATGCAAAACATTTTTGGAACAACAAGGGCACTTTGATAGTTCTGTTGCTGCCTGCAGTGCAAATGTGTGTGTGTGTCTCCTGCTCTGGGCTCTGCTCAAACTGGTTTTGCAGGTTTTCTGTGCATTTCAAGTTGAGCCAGGAAAAGGCCAATTCTTCCCGTCATGGAATCACAGAATCATAGAACTGTAGCGTTGAAAGGGACCCCAAAGGTCATTTAGGCAAATCCAGAGGTGCATGTGTGTCTGGCATGAGTGCATGTTGTCTAGAGTTTGTTTTTTTCAGTAAAGCCAATCTATGTGCTCTCTCCATCACTGATGATCACTTTGGCAACTGTTCTAAAAGGTATCTGGTTACCGCACCGCCACCCCCCTTGGTGAGATGAAGGATGTGCATGAATGCATATAGAGCTCTTGGGTGGGGGGGAGTCGTATGAAACTGTCCTGCCCTATGCTCACACTTAACATATATGTGTGTGTGTGTGTATACACACACAAACACACACACACACACACACACCCCAATATATATTATTTTTAGCATGGCTTATTAAACAGTGCATTCAGTCTCTCCCATTCTTAAAGTGTTTTTTTGCAAAGAAGTAGCAAGAAATCATTGCAGCCTTGCCTTGCTGACTTAAGATTGAGGAGAGAGTCACAGGGGCAGTTAGTTATAAGGGAGGAATCGTGCTGGAAATAAATACCGTGACCCTGAGAGCCACTTCCAGGCAGGAGCAGGAGCAGGAGTGGTCTGGTTCCAAATAAGGCAGTTTCCTGTGTCCAGCCTGGATGGGAGGTGCATCAACAGTCCCCTTGGTTGTTGGCAGAGATGGGGGGGGCGGGACAGGGGGCTGAGCAAAAGCTAGAGAACTGGGTGTTTCAAATTGTGTACCTTGTTTGAAGGGCAACCCATGCCAACATGTGGATAAGGGCCGGTCTTTTGATGGCTCAGGTTCTGTATTTAAAATGCAGAGCAGTTTCCCACTGGATTGTATCCCATGACAATTAGCAGGAGAGGCTGCCACCTGGATTTCCCTCTCCAGGCCCTTAAATGTCTTGTGTTGCGCTGGTCAGCAACCTTTTTCAGCCGTGGGCCGGTCCACCATCCCTCAGACCATGTGGTGGGCTGGACTGTATTTTGAAAAGAAAAATGAATGAGTTCCTATGCCCCACAAATAACCCAGAGATGCATTTTAAATAAAAGCACACATTCTACTCATGTAAAAAACGCTGATCCACGGGCTGGATTAAGAAGGCTATTGGGCTGCATCCGGCCCCCAGGCCTTAGGTTGCCTACCCCTGAGCTGGAACAAGCCCATCACCAGCTGAGCTCTCAGCCCCCATCCTCAGCACACCCTGGGTGACCTGGAGGACACACTGCAGCCTAGGGAGACAGGCGTACGGGGTGTGCCAAGGCAGCATTGAGGGGAAAGTTGCTTCTATGATTATTAGTAACAGTGTGGTGCATGTCTACTCAGAAGTAAGTCCTGCTGAGTTCAGTTTAAATTACTCCCAGGGAAGTGTGTGTAGGATTGATGGCTGGTTAGACAGACTTGGCTTCATCCTGTTGAGTCATCAGAATCAAGAGCCCTCTTTCCTCCAGCAGTGTGTGTGTGTGTGTGTGTGTGTGTGTGTGTGTGTGTGTTGGAAGGCTAGATTTGCACACACATGCAGCCACCCTCAGGATGCATCCCCAACCTGTAATACCAGTCGACAACAGGAGGCCCTGGACTTCCAGACCCTCTGCAAAAGTTCTTCTGTAGTGTGGGAACAAACGTGTGGGTTTGGGGGAGGTGGGTTTGTGAGGCTGGGGGCATTGCTAAGGAAGAGGTGAAAAACAGAGAGGTGTGCGAGGGCTATTCCTTCAAGGAAAGAGCCAGGTGTGGGTGGGTCTCCTGCCTACAGCTGCTGCAGGTGGAAACGTGATTCACCCGGTATGTGCGGGGACATGCCATTGAGAATGAGGAGGGTGTTTTTATGAATGGGAATGAGATGCAGGCGTGGGAACCATGTCCCTCCTCAAGCATGGGTGATGCAGCCCAGAGGCTGGAGGGGGTGGGAGATTGCTTTAAATAACGCACCCTCCTCTTCGCTGCCTTCACCTCCTCAGAACAACATTTTGTAGGAATAAAATAAGCCTGCGTGGTACTCTTTTTAAAAATCCTTTTCCTGGCTAAAAAGCAAGCAAAACTTTAAAGAGTGTTGCTTCTTGGTTTAACATGGCTGCTGGTTCTAAACAAGAACCCATAGAAATGTAAGACTTGCTTATGAGTGGGGAACTGCAGTGTAAGGGTCTGTTAATGGGCAGTTATGCACCCTGTCAAATGTTGCGTATAAAGACCTTGATGCACAAATCAGGACATATCTGAGTCAGGTCTATTTCATCAGAATATATGAATTGGGATTTCTTTAGTTGGATAGTAGCTAGCCAGCTAAGTCATCCACCTCAAACAGAGCCCTTAGGATATTTTTACCCTGGCCCTTCTGCAGCTATCAATTTAAGCACTGAAAGGTACAGATACCAGGCACATGGCAAAGTATGCAGAAGATGGGTGAAATTGCAAATATGTGCATGTATATAGTGAGCCAGTGCACAGCAAGTTGAACTGAATAGGACTTACTCCCAGACAAGTGTATGTAGGTTTGATGTTTAAAGCTGTAGAGCCTGTGAAGCATATGTGTGCTTGCTCTTCTTCTTGTAGCAATGAAGTATTGCATGTGTGTGCGCACACAACCTCTGTGTGCAAGTGCCAGTAGATGTGGGTGTGTGAAGTTGCCTGGCTGCAAGGTATTTCTTGAGTTATAATTTTGTAATCTGCATTGACACAGGTCTGTGGCCTGTGTCCACGCAATCCAAGCCAGTGACATGTGCCTTTAGGTTTGTGCATATGAACATTTTCGTTTTGTGTGAATGGACCTGGAGTGCTGCTCTCCTCCAGCAATAGCATGGTACCACTGTAACACTTGTGTGCACGTTCTGTGATGCCATGCAGAACCTCACTGGCTCCCTGTTCCCTGTGTCTGGTTTTCTTGTACTTGCTTATATCTCTCGCTTCTCTTGAGCCCTTGGCTGCTTTCAAGAGGAGACTGCTCCATGGTGCTTAAGTGTATTCTTCTGCCTCTGGAGAGTGAGGGCGATCCCACCCCTGCTTTAAGCACTTATTCCAAGCTACTGCAAGCAAATGAAAGGGATGGATGTGCACCCAGGGAAAAGAGAGCAGAACATTTTTATCTCTCTCCCCCCCCCCAAGAGTTTTGGCTTGCAATGTTTCGTAGGATTATTGCCTCTACTGTGAGCTTCTTCCCACTGTTCAGAGGTTTTGCAGGATTTTGTAGAACTTCAAAAACCTTCCAGTAGCGCCTTAGAGACCAACTAAGTTTGTCATTGGTATGAGCTTTTGTGTGCATGCACACTTCTTCAGATACACATACCAATGACAAACTTAGTTGGTATCTAAGGTGCTACTGGAAGGAATTTTTTTATTTTGTTTTGACTTCGGCAGACCAACTTCAAAAACCTTGTTTAATTGGAGACAACACTGGGGCAAAAGAATGGCATGTTGTTTGTGTACAACACGCACACACAAAATGGCTCTACCTGAACCCTTTCATTTCTCCTAAGAACTATTGTTTGTCCTCACTTCTGGAAACAGCCAATCCACTCCCTGCTCCCACATCCAAATGCATCAAGCCCATGCTTGATGGCCACCCCTCCCCCTTCCCCCATGTCCATCACTTCATGACACTGCTGTGAGTAGTGACAATTTCAGGACAGGCTGTAGCTGGGAATTTTAGCACTGGGTGAGGCCTTGGAGATCTTTCAATAGAATTTGCAGCACCCTCACTAAATTGCAATTGCAAGGTTTCTGTGGAGGAATAAATGACCTTAAAAATATACGAAGCTGGCAATCCATTTTGTAGTACAAAGTGAATTGAGTCTTGGAAAGCATTGGGTCAGTCACTGGAAGAATTCTAGAGGCAGAAGCGGACTGTTGCACTCGCTCTCTCTCTCTCTTTCTCTCTTGCACACACCAAAGGGTACGGTCTTGACTATTCAATCCTACTATCCTTTCCCTAATAGAATCTTGCCTGTGGAAACACTAACGGGGTGGGGTGGGGTGTTTTTTAAACATAATTCTCCCTTTTAATGGAGATCTGTATGTATTAAAATACTTGCTTCTACAGTTGTCCTTTGTGCATTTTTCCCTTGCCCATGTTATCTGAGGATGTGCACATTTGCAAAAACACTTAAGGGCTGACCCTCTTTGGTTTTTTACCCTGGGAAAAAAAATAATCATTAGGAGTCTCTGCTCTAAATAGCATCATGAAAGCTTCCAGGTTCCGACCACCTCTTCCCTGCCCCAGACCTCCCAAGGCTTATGCAAGAAGGCACAATGATTTTTTCACATAGTATGTTTAAAATGCATCTTTTTGGCATTTCCACTATGGGAATGTTAATGTGAGACAGATTACAGAAGCTATTCAATGTAAATTTTGCATTTGTATATGAAATAAGTGGTTCAGCTTAGTAGCTAAGAGTGTACTTTGAAGGAAGAGTATACATAAATCAAGGATGGAGAATGTGTAACTCTTCCCATAATCCCCATGGTTTTCCTTGCATGGCTGGGGCTGATGGGATTTGGATCAGAAGAGCTACAGGTTTCTCCTTCCTACTGTAGGAGCCACTGATATCCCTCATGCTCAGTCTACCCTTTGGACTCTTCACTCACTAGGATCCGTCAAATCCATAATGCATGAGATCTCTTCCCTTATGTACATCTTAATCCCCTTTTTCTTATAGGAGTTGTCACAATTAGTGAATAGTCCCATGGACGGCTCCTTAAGAGGGGTAAGTCCAGGCATTTGGCAGGGGCCCAACATTGGGCCTCCCACTCCTAAGAATGCCTCTATTTCCACATTGCAAAGAGTACCCAAGTGGGCAGATAAGGGAATTTGCAGCTCTCTCGTCTTAAGGGTGTGCTGACTATGGCTGATGGCAGTTGTAGTCCAACAAAACATCTGGACAGCACCAGGTTGGGAAAGGTTGACCTGGTGGTGAAAAGGCTGTTTTCTTTGAATCTCCAGCTCACGGTTGTCCCACTTTCTGGGACTCCAGGCTTTACTTCCAAGCATTTCATCTAACACTAGGTTGTGGATGGAATGGGACCATAGCCCAAATTATGAGGCTTTCCCCAGCCTTGCTGGAGCAAATCTTACTGCTGCTTTTCCTCCAATCCATTCTAGCAAAGAGGAAAAGGCAGTGTGTATTTCTTTGTTCCAGCCCCTGGCCTCCTGGATTCCCTCCAATCCTTCTGTGGGGTAGGGAAGGGAAGGAAATATTCATGTATCAATTTGCAGCTGAAATACAGCAATAGCTGGGAGACACACACACACCACTTTGGCCCTGTGCACGCACACACACATTGTCTGATGGGCTATGGGAGCCAAGCCCTTTCACATCGAGGGGGACAGAATGATTATACAAGATTGGTATTTTTTTACTGTTAAAAGGCCTCCTGCCCACCCCCATCTCCTAGAGGGATCCAGGCAAGAATCCTGCTGAGAACAGCA